AGGAGAAGAAGAAAAAGAGGCTAGGGTTTTATTGATTCTGCATAATGTAATTGAATGAATAAAACCTAGATACAAAGAGACTATATATAGTCTAAAATAAAGAAAACTTAAAAGACTATTCTACCCTTAATAAATAATGTTAACAAAATAATCATATATTTCTTAACAAAATTGTCTATTGAAAAATAAAAAAGTTGAACGATAATGTTGGAAATAATTTAACTTTTAGGCATCAATCTTTTCCAAAGAAAATTCCAAGGGGTTTTGGACCCTTTCCAAACCATCTACTTTTTAACCTATTGAAGCGCAACCACTTCTTTTGAAACTTTATACAATTAAAATAAATTAAACACAACAATTAAATAAATATATTTTCTTTTTATCCGTTTTAAACTTTTGAGTGAGTTAGTTGTCCTTAATTTTTATTTCTATTATCGTAAATAAGTAATAAAGTGGACGCGAGTCAAAGTATCGATCCCATGAGAAATAAGTACCTAATCTATTTCTTTAATATTAAGTACCTAATCTAGTTTCTAACCTACCTAACTCTAATCGAATATAAATAAAATAGATTGAATGATTTTATATTAAAAATCTAAACTAACCATCTAACATATCTGATTAATTGAGTGGTAGGAAAACGTTTATGATTACTCGAGTAATTGTTAAAGCTCGTATATTCTTCCATCTTAATATCAATTTTACAATTTGAAAATATTTATTTGGATATAAAAATTAATGTTCTTATACTATTTAATAATCTCTCATGAGTGAAATTAAACACATTCTCATATATGATCCAGTAATATCCACCCTGAATGCGAATATATGCAGATGCATTAAATCACAAAAAAATCAATTGGATGATAAAAAGTATAGACAATTGTCCCTACGTCTATGTGACTTTACAATGATTTTCTACTTGTGCTAAACTCCTACTCCTACTCCTACTCCTTATCCTGAATGTATATTAAAATCGTGCATCTATTCAATCAGTTGCCAATTAATTGAAAAGCTTTGCAAGAAATATGAAATTGTCTCCATTAACCTCTTTTCTCTATTGATTCCTAGCTTTCCTCATCTAATTATAGATGAAGAGTTAGAGCCTATTTGGTACAGATTCTCATTTTCTACGGTAAATCAATTCTCATTTTCAACCACACATTTTTCAATAAAATAATATTTTTCATCACATCAATACTTTTTTCTTCTTTTTCAACCACACATTTCCTATCATATCACTGTTCAAAAATCAATTCTTCCCCCCGAAAATTCCTACCAAACACACTCTTATATTTATAGATCAAATATTAGGTCAAAATCAAGCCCAAATTGTATTCCAAGAGGGAGGTTAAATTAAATTAGGAAACAAAATCTTGTAGCTGAACAATCCTATGTGATCACATGATTAGAACCATTGAGATTGCATGGTTCATCGATTTTCAAGCTGCAGGTGTTGACAATTGTAATTGTACGGCACAAAGGTCTACCCCTTGAATTTTGGTCCCTGAATTTCCTCATTTGTTCAACTCGAGTCATCTTTTAATTGCATCTTTAGTCGTTCTTCTTTAAATCTTCCTAGAGCAATCCTCATCATCCAAAATTGATCTGATGCAAGTTTCAAAAGTTTGCATTTGAGCTCCAAACTTATCACATTGTCAGATTTAGCTTCCGAAACTTGTGAATCTCTTTAGATTGCCCTCTTAATACTTCTAATTGATAAATTGCAATTCGATTAATCGTCAAATTGCTCCAAATTAACTCTCATTTATGCTCTAAAATTCATTTTTCAAGCCAAGTATATTCAAGTCGGGGATTTACTTGAACTGACATATCTATACTACATTAGGTATATATCCGCTCAATTTAGTAGTAAATAATCAAGTTTAGAAATCCGAATAAGTGTATAAAATAGTTCTATAACCATCTACAGGCAAGCAAAATATCTCAATTCGAGTATTTTAATATTGTTTAACAATTTAAAGTATTAGATTAAGTGATTCGACAAGTATAGACCATTTAAAGAAATCAACTGATGAAAAGACTTTTAAAAACATTGTTAAGCCCTTGTTTGGTAGAAATTAAAATGAAGATTTTAATCTAAGTCAAACATAACAATTAATTTTAACTACATATTTTATTAGACTCACAATTTTTCAACCATACATTTCATCAGCTTCCATCAAAATCTATTAAAAATTTAATTTTATCACAAACAAACACGGGCTAAATATATTAGTTGTTTCTCTTTTGAGGGTAGATTAGTCTTTTTACCCATTAGCTAGCAAGACTACATAAAATTTATTTTTCTTGTTTTTTATTATGCAATTAATTAACAAATCCTAACCTCTTTTCTTTTCTCTATATTTTGTTTATTAATTTAATAAAAATAAATAAATATATCTTCACTAATCGCTTTATGTTCTAGACGCCCTTATTAAACTAGTTTCCCTGAACCAACCCATCCACAGGAAGAGAGAAGTTTGGTATTTGTCTTGAATAGCAAGCAAAACATCAAAAATCGTAAATTGTAAATGATACAAAACATGCAATAGCGGGTCGGCACCGGCCCCATTTTTGAAAGGCGTGCTTCACAACCAAGAAAAAGTTGGATAAATCTAATCACCCACGGCCCACCCCCAATCCTCATATCAGCACGCCGGAGCCACCAACCAACCTCGGTCGACAGTATTTTTTTCCTTTTGTTTAAGGATAAGCACGGTGGTTCTAAACCAAGAAAGTACCATCGAAAATTCTAAAAATAGAACTAAATATTTACTATCAATTAGCCTGTTTCGTATCAGTAGAAAAGGAAAGAAAAATTATCGAAACTTGGTTCGATTCTTTTTTCTCAAATCTAGAAATATATTATCAACTTTAACTAGCACTAAAATTGTCTACCTCAGCTCAACTTTTTACTTCGTTTATTAATCAAATTCTTTACAAGAAAAACCAAATATATTGGCATCCAGTTGTTACAATATAAATATCAATAATCAAACAAACGTGTCAACATCAGTTTATTGTCCGAAGTCCCCACGGTCTTCCTCCTTAGACCAACCACGTCATGGGCTGAAACTTCCAGCCTGGCAACCCTATCAACCAATCAAATATCACCACGTGGAAGTTGGAACCATTGTAGATGGATACCTACGCAGTACCCACCCTATATCACCGTGTATAAATACTGCACCTGAATTTCACTTTGATTTCAGAAAACAAGAACAAATGGCCTCTTACTATTCTGCCACTGGCGCCATATTTTTGCTCTTCATCTTCTTCCTCTCTTCTTCAATGGCTGCTTTAGTTAAGGAACAGCCCCTTGTGTTGAAATACCACCGAGGGCCTCTTCTTAAGGGCACCATCACCGTTAATCTCATCTGGTATGGAAAGCTCACACCCATCCAACGCTCCATAATCATTGATTATCTGCAATCCATCAACTCTGTAAAGTCTCCGGTGCCTTCTGTTTCAATATGGTGGAAAACAACGGAGAAATACAAGGGTGGTGCACTTGGTTCATCAAACCTCGTGGTAGGGAAACAAATCCTGGACGAAAATTATTCTTTAGGAAAGTCTCTCAAGAATTCCCATATAATTTTCTTGGCGGCTAAGGGCGGGCATTTAAGCGGGTCGGTTAATGTTGTTTTGACGGCGAAGGATGTCTTCGTTGATGGGTTTTGCATGAATCGGTGCGGTGGACATGGATCGACCCGCGGGCCGACTCGGTTCGCATATGCTTGGGTTGGGAATTCGGAGACACAGTGCCCGGGTTATTGTGCATGGCCATTTCATCAACCAGTTTATGGGCCGCAAACGCCGCCACTGGTGGCGCCGAACGGCGACGTAGGAGTTGACGGGATGGTGATTAATTTGGCTACTGTTTTGGCGGGTACAGTGACGAACCCGTTCAATAACGGGTATTTTCAGGGCCCACCAACGGCGCCATTGGAGGCAGTGACGGCTTGCACAGGAGTTTTCGGGTCGGGCGCGTACCCGGGTTACGCTGGCAACGTTTTGACCGATAAGACCACTGGAGCTAGCTACAATGCGCATGGGGTGAACGGCCGAAAGTACTTGCTCCCGGCGATGTGGGATCCACAAACATCTAAATGTTCAACACTTGTTTGATATAAACGAGGAAAGATTCAGTGTGTGCACATGTACGGATGTAAATATACAGACGCGAATAGGGTTTAAATCTTTATGGAAGGTTTGTATTTGGAAATTTGTATTAAGTTTAAATTCTCTTTTCACATGAAAAATCTTGAAAAAAAAAATTGTAATATGTAATTTCATAATGGGAAAGTAGTAAGAGTGTGAGCTGAAATTTGGAAAAAAATCTTATTTTTCCATTCAAATTTGTGGGACTTGATCATTAATTTAACATGTTTTATCCTATATATAGTAATCGAATATTTGAGATTTTCTCGCCCAATATATTCATACAATTTTTCCATTCCCCAATAATAATACTATCTAAAATCAGTTGTGTTGAACAACAGGTATCAACATATCATAAGTCATATTAAATGGACGCAATTCCTTATATTTAATTGAACTTGCAATTTAATGTTATTAATATTGTCATCTAAATTGATGTTGTGCTAAATGGCATTACTCATTTCCCATACAGCCTTGGCATACCCTTTTCAATTGTGGACAAACTTTCTTCCCAAGACAACTATAATGATTAATGAGTACCAAAGTTAATAATACAAAAGAAAAAAGAAAGAAAATGTTACATAAGTTTACATATAAAAGGAATACATATTGTGCAGCAAAATAGAATGTCGTACCTTACTCGATTTATATCTTTAAATTTTATTCCAATATAGCTACAAATCATTTGGCAAGATTTTTGTTTTTGCTTTCGTTTCTTGTAAAAGAGTTTTCTGAGAAAGTTTCTTTAAACCAGTTTCCTTTTTCAGCATTTTTAGCCAAATAAAAGCATTTTCAGAAAATTATTTAAATATGTTCTAAATTTACTTTTTAATCTCAAAACAACTTTTAAATTTTCAAAAGCTCTGTCAAACGGGCTCTACATATGTATATGCAAATTGAAGCATGTCACAATGCATGATTGTTATGCAACAATTGAACTCGCTTTGTGCTTAAATTTTTCCATTTATTTAACCACTCTTGTATTTGTCCCTTTTTGTGTGATGTAATGCAATGCAATCAAGCAAATCACATTCAAAACACGCCAATAATTTGTCGATATGGTCAAGTATTTGGAAGCTCTTTGTCATAGGTTTAAAATTATTATTTACTTCCAAATCCTTGATTAAATTTTTCTTGACATCCACTTGCTTAATTTGGAAATCACTTGTGGTCAGATAGTAATCTATGTAAGTCAATAGAAACAACTAACAAGAAAACAAATCAAGTGAACTTCATTCTTAATAAATTTAGATAAAGTAGTTGAATTATTTAGTCACTTGTTGGATCATTGGCACATTTACTGAATGATTTATTATAAGTTAAATTTTTATTACCATAATAGGTCATATTATTTTTATTTTGTCCTCTCCATTAGCATTTTCTATGAAGAATATCATTTTTACTAACCACAACATTTTTTTTTAATTTTTATTTTTTTATGATTCAAGTATTTAAGCTTCACCCAAAATGACGAACTTTCTCATAGTTCGCTACCCAGGTAAAATCGAATGCGGTCATAGCTTATACATATTTAGATTGAACATTCGAGAAACGGTTCTCCTTGTAGATCCCCCTCTACGATGTGTGGACGAAATCCACGAAGGTGTGACAAAGCGCACCATGACTTTGTCTCCATAAAACAAATCAAACCAAAACCTTTTCAAGTTTATATAAAATGTATCACAATCATTCAAATCATAATTTTCTTTATTTATTCTCAATCATCACCGTCTCCACTTATTAGAGTACATTCTCATCTTTAGCCATTGTTTGGGTTTCATTATTTTCAAAAATATATTTTTCTATTTTATTTTCAATCACATATTCTCCAATAAAATAATATTACACATAAACCCAAAACTTTTCTTTATTTAGCCCATGTTTGGCCTAAACAAAACAAGATAATATTTAAATAAATAAAAAATTCAAAAATCGATCATTTTACTGTCAAATCATATTCATGAGCACACGTTCGAATTGAAACATGCATGCACTTGAGGTGCAAGTTGTAGGAAACACTTTGCTTGTTAGAGTATTGGCTGGCAGGACGTTGATTTGTGCAAAAATTGATCATACCGTAAGTCTTAAACCAAGTACTGTTGTCGGTATATGTCACTGTTAAGTCTTCAAAATATACAGTTGTATTACAGCATATCAGCAGATCAAATTTTTTATGAATTAGTTTAACTAATACTGTTGAGGATTAATTATCTATTCAATGACAGCTGTTTAGCTATGAAAATGGTGGACCAACTACAAAATTTAGGTCATTTCATCCTTCTATTTCTCATAAAATTTGCAATATGACTGCAGATTTTAGACCCTTTACTGTTTGATATTAGAAGAGACAACTCTCGTCTCGTTGGATCGACTGGATTGATCCGATTCCAAAGTGCATAATATTTTAGCGTATGTGACATTGAAGTCATTAACATATTGTTCAAGGAAGTTTGAGCGCATTTTTATACAATATCACATTAATTTTACTATCATACATACTAATGATCATCTAGACTCTAGATAAATATTATTATTTAATATTTTATCCACTTCAAGATTTAAAGACGTTTTTGGGTGAATTAAGATGTCCCTCTCTTGACCTTGTTCTTGTTAGGAATGAACCAAACTTGGGGTGGTAAAAGTCCAGCATAGCTAGCTAGTAGCAGAATTAAAGAGACATAATTGACAAAGAAGTTTGGAGTGTATATGATAATTGATAGAAATGAATTTATGAAAAGATGGGGCCTTAAGGATTGAGAGTCACATTTCAGGACCGTGGATTTTCTCTCTATATCCCTCGAACAAAGAGAACATATCGAGTACATTTTAGCACACAGTATTAGACTCGACTAGACAAGAAACAAAAATTTATCACTTTTCTTCATAATCATGGCCTGTGCCTTTAAATTGGCCTACACGAAAAGAGAGTGATTGGTTAATGCGTATCACTTTTCTAATTGAATTATACAGGCTTTTGTGACCTTGATTCGATTTAAATGTAAGTCAGATTTTTCCTACGATTATTTTCATTATTCATAAACCAACGAATTGAACCCCTATTTGTCTCCCTTTTTTTTAAACTCATTTTTCTCAAACTCATTTTCAACCACATTCACACAATAAAATATTTTAAATGTAAATCCAATTTTTTTCTTACTTTTCAATCACTCATTCTCCAAAATTCTATTCCAAAAATTCACCCAAAAAATCCTTAAAACGGGAGATAAACAGAGGCTAATTTTAGAAAGGTAGCGAACATATGAAGATGGGATGATTGGTGAATGCTCAACCTGTTCATCTATATTTAGAGTTTTGTTAGAGCCTCTTTGACAACGATTTTGGTAGGAATTTTTTTTTAGGTATACGTGTAGAATATCTTATCATGCAAATGTGTGGTTGAAAATGGTCCTATAACAAACCATAAAATAAATTAAAAAGTGTCAAACATGTACTAAATCAATAAAAGTATAACTGGCACAACAAAATGAAGCCAAAATCAGTAATGATATATTATAATGCACCAATACAATAAATTCTGATTAAAATTTTAGTTTGGTGCAATTTTTTACTATCATAAATTATATAAGTAAGCTGCTATGACTTAAAGGAGAGATCCACTGATGTTGGACCAATTACGAGCCAAACATGCAATTCCAATGTTCCAATCACCAAAAAACAAGAAGGCCATATTTTCAACAAGAAAAAATAATTAAACAAAGAAATGAGAAGATTTGTGAGCAAATGGAAATACTAAAATAATTGTAAACCAAAGTACAGCACAGTGTTCCTGCAGAAGTAATCCAATAAGAGATAAGAAAAATCAAGCATCGTAGTCACAAACATAAAGCAATAACAATTCACTAAAAGCTTCAATCCATTACTTATCACTTGTGTAAAAGCTTGAGCAAGTCATCATTTTTAAGGGTTGACATGCACATCTCAATCAAAATCTAGAGGCTTAGAAGTATGGGCTGTATCGCATGGGCATTCTGAACCTGGGAACCTTCCTGCAAAGCAAAAGTAATTTTAACGTAATAATGCCGAAGTATGCTTTCAGCCACGGGTTTCTCACCTCCCCACTTGAAAATTCCCAATAATCCCCATCCCTCCGCAAGAGCAGTCATATGCTCGTCCCCAAGATTCACTTCATGGACCCTTTTACCTTTTTCCTTCAATATTCTGCTGCAGAGCCTTTCATTTTTTCTTTTTCCTTATTGACCAATTTATTTTTCTATCTTGTAAAATTGAGTTATTTTTAGCTCAGTGAATCTATGTTATTTCTCTCTATATAATTTTTAATAGTTGAAAGATTCAATTTGATGTGTTTGAGCACCAACTTCTGTTGCTTTTCTGAAACTATTTAGTTATTTTAGCTATTTACTGGCTCACGTTTATAAACATTCAAGCCACTTTTTACCACACATTCGAGGGATCCATTAGTACTATCCACCACAAATTTCTATTTATGTATAATTTAAACTGTTCATAAACACTTCCCAAACATGCTCTAGTTGAGTTTCTTCTTACATCAAGCTCAGATAAGATGTAAATCAATTTACCCTTTTTTCTGTAGTTTTTAACTTGTCGAGGAAAAATAAAAGGTCATGCTCATGCGTCTTAAGCGATGGCCATTGCTTGAAACATTGGTAAAGAATGCCTATTGCTGAAGCAGCAGACAAATGACTTTGATATGGTCCCACCCCTCCTAACCTTACAATTCTAGAACCATCATCATTTCAAACTATATAGTAAACAACCCAGAGGATGATGACTCGTACCCGTATCCATAAGGAGAATAGAAAATTGGAGCAGGAATGTATGGTGTCCTAGAGCGATAACCCATGTGGGGGTTGGCACGCCGTGGGCGAAATTGCTTCATGCCAGGAACGTTGGTCCTCTTGGCTGACACCTGGAACAATACTCAAAAGGAATTCAATAATAGGAGAAAGGAATGACCATTAAACTGCCATAATCACAAGTTTCGGATCCTTATTCACATGGTTGGTCCATGTAATGAATGCGAGTAACAAATAAATATAACCTTCAATTGGCGACCATGAAGTTCAGATTCATTCAGAAGAATAGCCTGTTCAACAGCTTCTGCCTCAAGAAACTCGACATATGCATACCCCTTTGGTTGCCCATACTTGTTAGTCCGAATAGTTACTCTATTAACAGTCCCACATGACTGGAAATGCTGCTGCACTTCCTCTGGGGTACATGAATAATCCACCTACAAAGCAAGTTACTTTTGTTCAAATGAAGCTCCCTCAACAGGGGAGGAGGGGTTTAAAGAACACCATGAGTGCTATGACGTGCAATTGTATGTATCTATATTCAGTACGTGTATATAACTCCATTAAAGCTGAAGTAGTAAGGACAAATATGCACGAGGCAAACCTAGGCACTCATCGGTTGTGTCAGCAAACAACATATTGCATACAGAAAAAAAATCTCTAAAGCAGTTATGTCAGCATTATCAGAAATAAAAAACCAATGTTTGCTAAGATAATGAAATAAAAAACATTTCATTAATGGCAGGAAACAAAAATGTTAAAAAATGTCAAAAACTAATATTTCAGAAAGAAATGACTTTTCACCATATATAGCCTCTGTTTTGGATTCATTTTCTTTTCCTAAAATCTACTTTTCGAAGTCAAACATTAATTTTAAGCCACACATTTTTTAGGACTTACAAGTACTACCTAGTTATCAACCACTTATCCAAGTCAGAGAAATTAAAACAAGCAGCATCAATCTTGAAGCACAAAAGACGGAATTCCTACTAACAATTTTTTTTATAACCGTGGATGTCCGAGCCAACATGCCCGCACCTCGACTAATGCCACGGGGCCTTGAAGTTTACGGCCGGTACTCACCTCAATGGCCATGAGGGGACTCGAACTAGTCCTATTAACAAATAATTGTAAGCAAAACAGTGAAAACAGCCAGAAGGCAGAAACGTAACACACAATGCTAATACATGCACACGGCCAACTTCTTTGGTTCATGTCACATATACATAAATAATAAATGGAGTATGCAGACACAAAATTCAAATTATTCTTGCTATTATAGAGGACGAATACATTATCTAACTCAGCAGCAAGCATAAATAAGGTGACATCAGAAAAAAATACATAGCAGCTTGCATACATTATAATTAGAATATATCTGTTGGAATTGTTTTTTGAAAAGCTCAAATAGATATAAAGTTAACTAACATGTTACAAAAAAGGACAAAAAGAATAGCTCATCCACATACAGCACACCTTATGGAAAGACGCCTAGATAGTACCAACAGTGGAAGTTACCAAGGACTAAATGTAAATTTCTTTTAAAACAACTGCAACTTGTTGGTGAAAAGCCTTACATTGCCAACAAAGATTGAGCGAGAATCCACTTCTTCTCTATTTGCCTGATTAGCTGCAGCAGCAGCAGGATCTGGTTGCAATAAAGGAAGTACATAAAAAAAGGCACTGATAAGAAAGGTAATAGAAATGATATCTATTGATGACATTGAAGTTATCATACAGAAGCTGTCACTTAGCCAAGGGCATCAAAACACTCATAAAAGTCAAATGTAGTAAGCATTATCACCTTCATCGACCCTCATTGCTATCTCGAATTTAATTTCATAACACTAGTAGGCGTGCTGATAATATAAAGGAAAATTAAGTCCTTATACATTTTGGACCAGTCAAGGTCTCGAGGTCCATACTGCCAGAGTTGACTAACATAGTCTATTGCGGTGAAGCTCACCAACAGATGTATATCAAATAGTGTCTACCAATAAGTACAGGAAAGGGTAACTCAAACATAAGGCACCACCAAACATAAGGAGTAGTAGTTAAAAAAAATTAAGCCTTACTCTTCAGATCCTCTTATCACCCCATCCATCTACCTACCCACCGAAAAAAATAGTAACAATCCAAAGCAATAAGCAGCAAGTATACTTCCAAATAAAGGAAACAGTTAAAATGTACAACTGACACAATATATAGGTAGTGAAAACAAGTTCAGGATATTTATTCCATAACTTGGCAGAAAAACCACGCAGATTTAGAAACTAACAGATGAAGATAAAAATATATCAAGAATTTTGATAATTACAATGAGACACAAAATGAGACCATAATCAGCATGTTGAAACACACAGGATCACAACATGACAACTTGATCTAGAACCGTAAAAGAAAACAAGAAAGAGAGAAAGAATTCAGAGATTACAGAGAGATGAAATTAATATCTGAAATGAATTGTCATTTCCTTAATTTTTTTTTCCCTCTTGTTTAGGTACTAAAGCGAGGAATGGTTTAGTGAGGATCCCACTCGACTTGCTCTACATAGAGATGTAGAGATTTCAAAAGAAAAAATAGAATGCTTCAAGAGATACTTGTCGAATGAAGATTTGGTGATTTTGAATCTACCTAAGATCATTACCGCTTGGACCTGAAGATTTGGTGTGTTATTTACAAAGCTTGCACACCTATGCTTCAAAGTTATGCCTTGAAGTTACTGGGGCAACTATCTTCTCCATCTTGTTGTGAGCGAAATTGGAGTACTTATTCCTTTTTGTATTCTCTTAAACGGAATAAGCTAACTCCAAAACATGCGAAAGATTTAGTTTTCGTCAATAGAAATCTTCATCTCTTGTCAAGAAGGAGTGGATAGTAGTCAAAATGAGAGACTAAAATGTGGGATATCGGTGGAAATGCATTTGAAGATGTTGGTGTGCTTAAAGTCGCTAATTTGTCTCTAGACGAACTAAAATTGGAGGTGATAGTATTTGAGGTTCAAGATGAATGATGTAATTAATTTCGTTTTTACTTTTTCAACTTGCGTTATTAAGAAACATGTATGAATTTAATGTCAAGTTTGATTTCTATTTATTATTTAATTATTTATATATATGATACAATAAGTATACAAAAATATTACTTTAAACTATCAAATTAAAATAAGTTAAAAAAAATAATATTTTAATCAAATTGTCGGCGACGTATCGTGTTGGAACTATTTAAAAAAAGCGTGTGTCGGCGTGTCTCTAGTGTCCGTTTCGGTGATTCTTAGAACACAGGCCTAACCATAAGCTAAGTGCTAGATATTTTGGTCCATGCCAAGTTCTTAAGAAGATAGGAGCAGTGGCATACCAATTGGCACTACCTGAAGGTGAAAAAATTCACCCAGTTTTCCTTGTATCACTGTTGAATAAAAAGCTTGATGACAACACTATGCCAATACTGCAACTACCTGGGGAAAAACAACCACTATAGTCAAAGCATCACCCCTAATCCATCTTGCAGTCCAAGTTGGTGAAGCGCAAGAATCATACAACAGCACAAAGGCTCATCCATTGGTCTGATCTGCTCCCAGACAGCGCAACATAGGAAGATGCTGAATGAATTAAAGCCCATTTTCCTTGTCTGTAGATCTTAGGGACAAGATCAAGGTGAGAGGAAGAGTTATTATTTAAGGAGTAATTGGGGAAAGAGAAGAAATAGAACCAGCAAAGGAAGAGGAAGAAGAGCAGAACAGAAAATGAGAGAGGAAGAACAGACTTAAAAGGGAGGAAGAAGAATGCAACAGCATCAACGGAAGTTTAAATTAAAAATGACACCGTTTAGTTTACATCAAATGATGCCGTTTTGCTCAGATAAATTTTAATAGGTTTATGAAAACGTTTTACCACTTTACTTTAGAAAACAGGACTTTATTATTGTAGAGGATGGGTGTACATATACAACCCATGTGCAAGGAAGAAGGTATCTGTGTAATTCTGCAAATTCATTTAATAGTGGAGTAATTCCACAGCTCTTTTCTCTCTCAATTCTTCTTGTTTTAATCATTTACCCTTCCCCAATTCTATTTCGCTTTATTTGGTTACAATTTCAGTTGAAATAACTCCATTTCTGGGCTACGGTAGTTGTGAATTTGCAAGCTGAGTTCAGATCGTGACACCCTTATAGACTAATCATTCGGTTGTCAATTTTGCCAAGCATAGTAAATAAATATTTTTCTTTATTTGACGAAACAAAATTACTCCTAAATAGAGCCATTTCAAGATTCAGCCCTTGTTTGTTCCACATTTTTTTCAAGATATATTTTTCTTTCTCTTCTTTTCAACCACGCATTTTTTAATAAAATATTATTACACAGAACCCAAAATCTTTCCCTTCATTTTTAACCACACATTCTCCATCAATCTAATATTCCAAATGCATTCTACACCAAAAAATGGGGTTCAAACAGACCCTCAATTAAGAATGGATTTAATTAACAAGCTAAACTACATTCAATTTTCACATTTTCGATGTATAGTTTGTGAGTCAAATGTTTGAATGGTCACTGGACTTTGCATCAGGTCACGACTTACTCATCAAATATCACAAAGCATCCCTTAGCCACTAAACTTTGCTCTGTCATAGTCCATTACTCACCAGGTGGATGCCATTACATTTAATGCCGACGTGAAGAACGTAAATATGACATGGCCAGTTAACTTTTTCCAAATGTTAAATCATCTACCAACTTAGTGCCATTTCATCAATTCAAAGAAGGACACTTCATCTACTCCACCATATCCACTACCATGTGCCCCACCACCACTACCACCATGTCCAAGGAGCACGTGTGTCCAATCAAAAACACATATCATTAGTAGCAATCGATTTTGTCTCCATTCATCCTAGTACCTAGCACAAGGGGCTATTTCTTTGGAGAAAGGAGGCGGTAGGCCTCACGGAGGTCAAACCATGAAACAGGCTACCATCAACTTTGGGAATGGAAACTAGAGAATTAGATACCGGTATTTCAGTGTAACGCCTATCAAAGTTGGCAATGTTGTGTTCCCTGCTACTTAAGGCCCGAAAACTTGGTTGCATTCCCGTGCTCTCCAATTTCTTCCAGTTAATTGGCTTGAACCATTTATGACCCTTGAGTTTGTCACTTCCCTTTGGCTCGCTACCAAGCCGCCTACTAGGTTCCTTTTGTAGCAACCATGAAGTAAGAATAACTTGGTACAATCAAATTTCTTCATATAAGAGTTTAGAATGAAAGATTACAAAAATTACCCCTTTTGAGTTCTAGAAGGAGATCATAGTGCAATGTTCAAGGCGGTGCTGGTTTTGGTTCAAGAGCTGAACATGGGGTGGAGGTGGTGGTGGCGGAGTGGGCGTACAAGGAGGTGGTTGTGTAGGTGGGGCATGGTGGTGGGTATGATGGTGGAGGAGGAGGTGGCGGAGGAGATGAAGTGTCGTGCTTTGAATTGATGAAATGGCATTGGGTTGGCGGATGACTTAATATTTGGAAGAAGTTAACTGGCCAGTCATATTTCCATCCTCCACATCAGTATTAAACGTAAAGGCATCCACCCGGTGAGTAATGGACTACAACATAGCAAAGTTCGGTGGCTAATCGCATGCCTTTTTGGTAAGCAAGCCATGCCATCATGTAAAATTCAGCGGTCATTCAAACATTTAAAATTCAGTGGTGAGTAAAGGCATCCACCCGGTGAGTAATGGACTACAACATAGCAAAGTTCGGTAGCTAATCACATGCTTTTTTGGTAAGCAAGCCATGCCATCGTGTAAAATTCAGCGGTCATTCAAACATTTAACTCATATTTTGCTGCACACCTTTTCTTTCCATGAAGACGTATTCTTTTCTCACCAACAACGAAAAAGAAATACGCCTATAATTCTAATTCACACGCTTAATCAGAAACAAGAAATTTGTGCATTGTGCGCATCCAGGAGCATCTAAATTGCAAAATAATAATAATAATAACAACAACAACAACAACAACAACAACAACAACAACAGGGATTAGGATTGACCTTGTACGGCGCCCATTTCTTGCTCAACTTTAGACTGCATTTCACGAAGAGCGGCCGCTTCGTCCTCCATCTCTTTAAGCCTCTTCTTCATATCATCCAGCTCCTACGCAGTGCCAAACGATACATATACACACAAATATACATATGTACAAAAGTTAGGGATTTGACAGGATAGCGAAAATAAATCTGAAATAAGTTAAATTACACAAACAGAAATTCACAGAGAGTGTAATAACGAGAAATATTACGAGGCCAGATCCGCCGTCTGCCTCCGGCATCTCGACGTCACCCTCCTCCATCGGCCGCTTATTGCCCCTCTTTCCCCCTCTCTCCTAACCGTACAAAAAATAATAATTATTTGAGAAAAAAGACTGATGTATGGAACTTATAGTTCTGGCCCTAAATTTTTTATGCCATTTTAATTTGGTCCTTCTTAAACTCCCATTTTGGTCCTGCTTTAAATCCCACTATACAAAAATTACATGACTCGTCCACAACCTTTTAATTGGGTTGCAACCTTCTCCCTAACCTTTTTCATTGACAGCACAATTCTCAAACTGTAAGTTCATATGCACGGTTAGAAGCAAAAACCTAGTGGCAATGGCCACAGCCATCCACCCAAGCTCGACTCAACTAGACTTGTTGACCATGGGACCGCCTCGTTTCAACTCATAGCCTTGCAAGTTCAGCCGAAGTCAACCTGCGGGCTTTTTAATTCTTTCTTAGACACCGTTAAAAAAATTCTATTTAAAAAATTAAATATAAGATTAAAAACAAGGAAATTTGACATAATTAAATAAGAAAATGGAACAAGGTCGAGAAGCCACCGTCACTCGGCTAGGCTAGCCGAAATTCAAGTTCTATTATACCCGTGTGCTCATCATGAAACAAGTCGAGTTCTTACTAGATTAGCCAGCTTGCAAAGCAGATGAGTCGAGCCCACTGCACTCGATTTTTTTGGTTATATAAGCACATAAGGCTTATACGTAAAATACTTACGGAACAAAAATGTAATTTTATATAACATATTTTTTAAGAAATAATTATATTTTTGTACGAGCATGAGAGAAAGAGAGTGATGCAGGAGGTTCACAGTGACAAAAAATCATTGTTTAAACACCTTCCATCCAATTTGTTTCAACAAAATTCTATGTTAGTATGTCGGAAGAACTTTTTACATTTGGCAATTTGTAAAAAAATGTGTATGCTTTGATTCGTAGGATTCATTATAGTCGCAAGTAATCACCTTATTACAAAGATGCAATGATGAAATTTGTGTGGCTTGACGTTAAGTACAACAATATATTTAAAATAGATACTTTTAAAACTACCATCTTATAAAAAAAACCTTATAAATCCTACATCGAAGATTCAAATAACTTTAAAATAATCATTACTTTGGAAAAATCTTATTTATTTATTTGGGAGAATAAACTTTGTTGATAAATTAATAACAAGAAATTTATTTTTGTGGGGTCTTAGTATCTGCTGAATGTGACATTTTATATTGAAGTATTAGGAAGAGACTTCCAGATGCAATCCAATAAATAAAAAAATCCATTTTTGTCTGAAGTGAAACTCGAAAAACAAACTTTCATACAGGTCTGTCGGGTTGAGCATCTTACTCCATATTCCTTTTTCTTCTTGCTGCCCACAAAATTATGCAATTTTTTCGAGAATTGGTCAATCTCCCTTTAGTAAATTGATCCCAATTCTTGAATTCAAACCCATTTACTGTATTTACTGATCAAAATTTGGTAAATGGCTGCTGATGCATGCTACACAAACCATGTTTCTGGCATCATCAAACTCGATGGATGCATTCTGAATAGGGACACCATTAAAAGGCAAGCCCAGTTTGTCTTTTGTTTTAATTGGATATTTTACACTTATGATTTCAAGAATTTGATGTAATTTAGGTGGAATTAGAGAACATATGAACAAGAATGGTTTATTAATGTTGGTTATTGTACTGTGGTGTCTTTCACCTGTTAACTTTCTGGGTTCGGCTCATCGTATAAAGGTCATTAAAGTATTTGTAAAGATGAAAACTTAGATTAATAATCCTTCAAAAATATAAGATTTTCCTTCAAACTTTTCTTCTTTCCAGTGTAAATTAGCCTTCTATTGGTACACCTTTCATATTCCTAGTCCAACTCGTAGATTCGCCGCTATCAAAGCAATCTTAGATTAAGATGCAATGCATTCACGCCCTGTTTGTTTGGTAAGATCGACTTTACATTACTAATGAAAAAAAAGAAACTTTAATATTGTACATTGTATTATCTAGTCCTTTCAAGTATTGCATATCCAAACATGTCCTTGTAATGATCAAGTAACTCTATGTTCACCTAGGCTGACAACCTTGAATTTCAGGCATTGTACAGTATTCTTCGCTCGAGACACCATGCGAAGATCGTTATGCTTCTTCAATAAGCCTCAAAGACGTTGCATCGAGAAGCACACTAGAGAGTTAAGATCAAACCAGGAGTTTCCACGCCACGGAATTTTACAAAAATGCCGAGCAGAGCTCACCGAAACATCCCATGAAGAGGAAAAGGAAGAAGATATTTCTCGAGCAACTTTGATATGGAGAGCCATCAAATTACCAATGTACTCCGTCGCTTTGATTCCTCTAACTGTGAGACTGTTAATTTAATTAATTTTGTACAAGTTTTTAGCATTTCCAATTTTATATGTTTTCTGACTGCAAAATAGCTAATGATTGCAAACGAAGCAGATATATTTTGGTTATGTGATTTACAACTCATCAAAACCAGAAGTATGAAGGAGTCTGTGCGTGGTATAATAAGAAGAAGCTCAAACTAGGATGTCTAAATTGCTGATAGTTATGTCATATTCCGCTTTAAAAACCAATTCTAGATGTAAATCTGACACTTCTTGAGATAGTAAAATCTACTTTTAATGTATTCATTTGACATAAAAATCAATTCACCAATTCTTCTGTACTACTTGAGGATGGAAATTGATAAGAGTGAGCATTTGCGTGTACAGATTAGAGTTTTTATTCTCATAAATTCAGAATTAACCAATTCCGGTTTCATCGGTTCATTTGTTGTCGGAATCAAACTTTTAGTTGCTTGTGCACGTCTTTTAATTAAGATTGATAATATTTCTGCTTGCAAAAATTTCGTAATTGCAAACAGGTAGGAACTGCTGCTGCTTATTGGCAGACAGGTCAGTTTTTTGCCAGGAGGTATTTCATGCTCTTGGCCTCTTCAGTGCTCGCCATCCTGTGGATCAACTTGAGGTCAGAAACTAACCGAGAGTTTTTCCGTTGTTTCTCATTTTCTTTCATTGGAAAAAAAAATAGTTTTTCTTTCAAGCAAGTAGATCTATATGATAATCGTTGTATTTGATTTTGAAGACGATACTGAATTTTTATAATCTGCTAAACTCCCCTCTTGAATGTCTCCTAAATATCTTCGTCCGTTTGCTTACATGTATGCAGCAACGACGTTTATGATTTTGATACAGGGGCAGATAAAAACAAGAAAGAGTCAGTTGTGAATTTAGTTGGCAGGTGAGAATTGATCGTAACAACAATAAATGATAGTATTAATGAAGAAAATATAATCTCGTCGATTGTACTATCCAGTTGTATCCAATACTAAACTCATGTTTGGTAGGATTAAAATCTAGATTTTAATCAAGTCATAGTCAACAATTAATTTTAGCCACATATTTCATAAGTCCTACAACTTTTCAACCATACATTTCATTAATTGTTATCAAAATATACTAAAAATCTGATTTCAGTCCCCACCAAATGGGGGCTAAGTAACATGTACTGATTGGCTGATGATGTTTCATTTTGCTTGTTGAAGTCGCATGGGAACTCATGTTGTTGCTTGGCTTGCACTTGTACTTGGCTACGTGGGCCTTAATTTGGTATCAATATTGGAGGCTGGAAGTCTGCGTTCAATGCCATTATTTTTTTCTGCTATTTTTTGTGGCTACATATACCAGGTACAACTAATCTTCTAGACGTCTAAAAATCGATACTTAACAAGGAATTACAACCTGCATTTAGTTACTGGTCGCCTTTATGAATCATTTTTCTCAATGAATTTGGGTTGACTATATGAGATACTCATTTTTCTGTGAAAAAATAATATGTTGCAGTGTCCACCATATCGTTTGAGTTACCAGGGACTTGGAGAACCATTAGTCTTTGCGGCATTCGGCCCATTTATCACCGTTGCTTATTATATGCTTCAAAGAACCAAAGGGTACACATTTTTGTTCATTGCATGTAACTTTTTAAAATGTCAAAAACTAATGTCTACTAATACTATCTTCTAGTATTATGGTACAGTGAGCTGCCCATTACTAGCACAGTTGTTGCAGCATCCATTCTAGTCGGTTTTACAACATCCTTGATCCTTTTCTGTAGTCATTTTCATCAGGTTCGACTGTCTTTCTCTCTTTCTTTCCCGATTATTCCATATAGCTTCGTTTTTGTCTGAGAAAAATAATGGAATGTTCAGATCAAGGATGATATGGCTGTCGGCAAAATTTCCCCTTTGGTGAGTAATACAGACACCTGTTTACTAAGCTTAAAAATAAGTAAAACTTACATTTAAATAACTTTTTTGTCTTTTCAAACATGTTTGTTAAGTTAAAGTAAAGAAAGTTGCTCATTTTGAAACATACTGTCAACATAGGTAGTTCATTTCCAATTTTGATTAATCGACAATATATTTATTCTGGAACTCACCTACTTAAGTAAATTTTTAAAGCTGCAGTATATATGCTATAGAGAGGTAGTCAAGGGAACAATCACTTATCCTTTTCTGTTCAATTCCAGGTCAGACTTGGTACTGAAGCAGGTGCAAAAGTAGTGAAAATAGCTATAGTTGCACTCTATTCACTTCTATTTATTTTTGGAGTCGGCCAAATTCTTCCTTTACCATGTGTTGTAAGTATTTCTCACGGTATCTTTCTTGAAAATGTGAGGGATTCAGTTAGGGTATGTTTGGGATGATGGATTAAACAAGATTGTGCGAGATTATAAATAAGGCACACGATAAAGTTTGTGGTTTATCCTATGCAGTTCTATTTGAGTCCAGCATACCAAACATACCACGCGACTATTTCTGGGCACCTTTTGATATAGGTGTTGTTTTGTTCCAGATTCTTTGTGGTTTGACACTACCGGTGGGAAATTTAGTTGTTGGCTTCGTTGAGGATAACCACAAGGTTAGTACAAATACTTTTACGGATGAATCCTATTTTACTGTCAAGATAAGTAACTTTTTATTTATAATTTGAACACGTTTGGACACAAAAAAATTACTTTAAGTGATGGTCCTTAACAGGACAAAACAAAGATCTTCATGGCAAAGTATTATTGTGTGAGATTGCATACCATATTTGGTGCTGCATTGGCTGCAGGGCTGGTGGCTGCAAGGATTTATGCTAGGAAACCAATTTTCCTTTGATGATTTTAAATTTGATCCTTGTTGATCGTGAGTTTTCATCTTAAAACATGTTTCTCTCATTTTTATCTTTGATTCATCGTATTGAAGAGGTTATGTCGAAGCTTAATTGTCTAACTTCTCATAATCTCTATTTTTCATGTTGCGTTCTTTCACGTTCGACTAGAATAAATTTTCATGTGTCGATCAGTTTGGAACCCCAGAGACATGACAAGCCTAATTTTTATGACATAATTGTAGAACATTAGCGTAATGTTAATTAAAATTGTAGTAAATAGTCGGGACTGGGGACGAACTAAGATTGTTCATAATCAAATACTATAGGGAATACGAAGTAATTAATGAAACTTAATCGTCGTAAATGTTTCTTAAAATGCTAAAGTTGTATGGTCAAAATCAAAATTTGGGATCGAGCAATTAAGCCCCTATTTGGTGGAGATAAAAATAATATTTTTGTAAATTTTGATAAAAGTTAATGAAATGTGTGATTAAAAAGTTGTGATCTTATGAAATGTGTAATTCAAATTAATTATTAACTTCGATTTAAATTTTATTAAACTATTTAAACTGCACCTTACAGGGGCTAACTATATGTCACCTATGTTTGTCAAATCTTCATTTTCTTAAGAGGTCTGTTATGAAGTTGAGAGACTTCAAGAAAAGAGTATATAAAGTTAAAACTCAAGTGTATTATAATGAAAACAAAGACCCCATAAAATGTGTTATCAGTCATCCACAAAATTACACTTAATTTTCAACACTCTCCTTAAGGGCGGAGCCAGCAAATAATGTTAGGATGTGCTGAAATTGTCGAGTCAGAAGAGATCAAATTCAGGAGGTTAAACTCTTGACATTCACAATAAAAAGTGTGCAATACTCAATGAAATAAAAGAAATCTAGATGTCCTATTATAAGATGTCTAACTAGATTTTCGTATATATTTCCTTACGAATAGAAAATCGATGCTTACATTAAAAAATATAAATTGCTAAAATCATGATTGAAATAAGCAAATGTCCACCAATAAAGAATTATGAAAATTATCTATTGAGTACTGTTCTAAAGAATTATGACAACTAGTCTTTTTTAAATAACTGAAAGTTTTGGCCAAAACACAAAATCAAAATTACATCACCGTGTTATTGATCTTAAAAATACTTTTTGGTGTATATCAATCTTCTATATCACCACATTTCATAGTGAGTGAAGAATCGCATTCGATAGTGGTGTTATGGGCAGGGGGACAGGTTTGTCCTCCTGCTCCCTCCGCCCCTGCTCCCACTCCCTCTTAGATGTTTTTGGTTTAGCAAAAATTCAGTTGAAAAAAAATACAAAAGAAAGCAAAAATAGCGCAGTTAATTGTTAAAATGTAAAGCATCTAAATGTTTATTGCCAAAAAAATTCAAATAGAACAAAACCAGAATGAAAAAAAAATAATAATAATAAAATAGTACGGTCACTCCCCTTAATTTCACTCAATGAGCATCCTAGATTATACCCATTCATGATTTCTCCCACCCGTACCCGTCCCCATCTCCGTCTTTGAAAGTACAATAATGGTAAATGTACGTTCTATCCTTGATATCTTGTTTGATATTTCCTTTGTATTCAAAAATTTGTGGGTGAGAAAAGTGTTTCTTTTTTTAAATTATTCAATGGTGTATTGTTACGTGACACAATGTAAACAATGATGTCAAAGATGATGTACATGTAGCATGATTGTTGAAAGTATGTCATCAAATCGAGACTTGATTCTTGAACTTTCCAGCAATGGTTTCAAGATTTTTCAGTGGTTCTTTAAATTAGATGCTAAAAAATTATACTTCAATGTGTAAGTTCTTTTGCTAACCTTTTTTTTTTATTGGGTTCCAAGAGAAACATATAGAAAAATGAAAGAAAAATTCCTAATTTTTATATTTTGAAGCTTATTAGCATTAACTTGCTGAATTTCTTTTTCTTTATATTCTCACTAATTGTAATTTGCAGTTGTCCCCAATTTTAAAAGTGAAACCCTGACTTCGTGATAGCTCATTGCTTTGATTTGATGAAGTAGTATATTGAATCATAATTCTTTTTTTCTGCATAAAATATAGATCATTGGTTGCATAATGCTCGTTGCTAGTTAGTTGCCGGTTTCTTCACACTCGATTTCACATAATTGAGGTACACAATTAACATTATTAGCTAATTTCCGTAGTGTATTGATAACAATTTTGTATGTACACGAAGTTGCTGGATTATCGTTGTCTTGTCGGCTTATCATTGAATAACTTGATCTGTAGTTACTTAGTCAACTTATTGTTGGATGTTGTTGCCTTGCTAATTTTTTGTTGAATTTTTGATTGTTGTTGAAGTATTGAATTCTTGACGGATTATTATTTTTTTCCAGTATAAAATTTACAAATGGATTATTAGTATTATATGTTGACGATGATGAACTGACAAAAAAGACTATTTTATATTAAATATAAGTTGTACCGGATGAATTTAGTAGTAATGTTGCAAAAATTATTGCACATACTTTACAAGAGTATAATCTAATTCATAAAATATTTAGCGTATTCCCTTCTCGTTTGACTGGCAATAACATTTTACCACATCAACAACAGTTAATTTTTTTTTTTTTCTCGTTTGGATAGAGCTTTTTGAATTTATTTGTAGTGTCTTCGGACAATGATACCATCGAGTGCTCATGTTGGACGGTCAATTAGGTAAATTAGGGGGAGCAAAATCTGAAATATGGATACATAAACATTAGTTTCACCGGAATATTCCTCATGTTCGAGAAAACATTATTGATAGTGTCAATTTTATTGGTTCAACGTAGATTTTCAACGATAATATTGTACTCTGGGACATATGTTTCATTATAAAAATGTCAGGTGCCCCACGAATGGTGGGGCATCGGGTGTCCATCTGTGGGTACACTTATGTACCCATAGCACAACCCTACTCCTATTATTAAATATTTTTTTTAACATTTGTACCGTGTTTTTACCGTGTAAAAACCAAGATTCTTCTTTATTCCAAGTATATAGCACAATGGAGAACAAATTCACGTTTATTTTTCATTGTTTATCATTGACTTTTATTTTAAATAGTGTGTTTGATCCCTGCCTCAAGTTACATAGAACGGGCTGTTACTTGTAATTACTTCAATTTAAACTATACATTGGAAACAAATATGTCATCGGTACAAATTAGAATTATAAAATGGATTTTGCTATATGTACATCAATATTTAAATAATGGATTACACAATGTCACATGAAACTCTATCATTTGTCGTTTAAAACATAATCCACATTTTCATCCAATTTTTTCCCTCCATATCATATTATGTAATTCATTTTGTACATTTTTTATATACAAGTATGAAATCCTTATAAAGTTATGTAATTCATACTCCATTCACAAAAATATTTGGTGAAGAAGAAGACTCGTTTTTTAGTTTTTTACTTCTCTCTTCTTTTTTAGTTAATTTATGGGAAAATGATGAAGTGGCGATTGTACCTTTTTTTAATTGGTCAAAATAAATCAAACTTTTAATCTTTGGGTTGACTAATTGATGGATTATGTCCGACTGCAATTGAAATGAAAGATTTGGGACCGTGAGTACAAAAATAAAAGGCTTGGGTATAATCTGCAATAAATTGAAAGATTTGGGACCTCGTTACAATTTTTCCATTTAAAAAATGGACATTTACATAGATGTCACTAATATGAAAATAAACCAAAAACTTGTTACTTTTTCAAAATTCAAAAATGTTAATTTTTGAGTGCATAAAATCGAATTTAATGCACATATAATGATGACTTGATGCGTGGCTTGTTGGAGAAGTTAACCATGAAATTAAGTTATTACACAATGGTTAATAGGTAGATTAACAAATAATAATAATAATAAATTATTATTATTTTCTAACATATTCTTGAAATTAATAAGTGAAGTGTTCTCCAAAAAACCTAAGTGAATTTCTTTCTCCTACTAGAATTGAAATATCAAAGATGAAATCATAGGAGGTTTATCTTCCAAATTGAAAGCAAGAGTTGTTCATATGGTAGTTGAGTATTCATTAACATTCTTAATGCTTCAAAAATAATGTTTACATCATATACCTTAGAGGATCTTGACAGTTGTGAACATTAAGATAGACATTTGAAAGTCAATCTCAACATTTCATAATTGTATGGATATACATTTTTACTCTCTATCTAACCAGTTTGAAATTGTCCGATAAATGTTGTTGATCTCGATTTGTAGGGATGGCAACGGGGCGGGGGAGGGGAAGAAATTCCCCGCCTCGTCCCCGCCCCGTTACCCGTTTAAGGCGGGGCGGGGAATTTTCTAGTCCCGTTAACTATTCGTTTAAATTTTTTTTTAAAAGTTTTTTATAATTTATTTTTATTACCCATATTGTTAAAGGCGGGGCGGGGCGGGGCGATTTTTTTGGTTTTTTATAATTTATGTTTATTACCCATATTCATTAGATTTAGGCAAATAATTTTAACTGTTATTTTCTATTAGAATTAATGAAATTTTGTGAAACTTTTCATTTAAAGTATTGAATTTTTTTTAAAAAAATTAAAAATAAAAAAAAATTTAACGAGATGGGGCGGGGCGAGGGGCCCGTTACCCGTCCCTGCCCTAATACTCGATTAAACGGGTTAACCCCGTCCTGTTCAGGGCGAGGTCCCGCGGGTATCGGATTTCTTTAGTTTTTTTGCCATCCCTATCGATTTGTGTAGAGGGTGATGTGATCAACAGATTTAAGCTCTGCTATCTTTCATGTAGCCTTACTCCTGCACACTTGGACAAATCGTTAGTTACATGTGGTCTTCTCTTGTGGTGGGGGAGGTGATTGTGAGCATTTCAACGTTGAAGTCAGTCAATGATAATATGTGTGGGACGTGTTTGAGACGTGAGCCATTTAGGTGCTTGGGCTCGGTGGTAATGTATCATTATGTAAAACAAGAGAGAATAATGTTATAGTTGAATGTAT